CTGAAAAGACTACTTTTTAAAAATTTTAAGTTTTGTTACAACCTCTATGTAGTTTCACAGCTTTCACCAGACCAGCAACTGGATACTGCAAGAGGGGAAACAAACAGAGCCAAATGGAAATGATGCTTCTGCTGCTGTGATCAAGGTCTTTGCTGCTTTGGTGCATTGTCAGTCTGGGCCTGGAGCCTTGCTTGGGACTTCTGCAGTCGTGTCTTGGCTTTCTCTGGAACTGGTCTATGTGTGGACATATATGTTTAGTTTGGTTTTTATGTCTCTTCTCATGATGTGAGCCCAGGTGTAGCTCACACTAGTCTGGGAGGTTGTGGTAGGATCATGGATTATATTTTTAAAACAGAACTTGGTTTAAGGTGTGTGGTGATTCATAGCAAATGCATGGCAGTCGTTGAGGGATTTGGTCATCCAATACTTCTGCACTCATTGAAATCGATCAAAGTTTGGGTCAGACATTGCTGCAGTTTACTTTTTCTCTGAGTAGGCCAGTGCTTCATCACAGGACTGGACTTGTATTTGTATCCTGCAGGCTGGGTCTAAGTTCGTTTTCCTGGTTTAGCTGAAAAGTTTTGCAGGTCATGGCTTGAGCACCCTGGTACCTGTTCTCTAAATTTTTTAAAATCACTATTAAAAAAAAAATCCAAACAACCACTTAAATTATAATTCTTTATTATTAAAAACAAATTTAAATCTGAAGATTGTTCACCTGCATGATTATTTGTCCCAGTTATTACCTTATCTTGAAAAGGCCTTGGTTTGTTTTTTTTTTTTTTTTTACTATTTTATTTTTTTAAGGACAATGAGATGTTCAGGTAAGCTATGTAGTTTAAGTAACTGTATTTCCAGTACTTTTCAAGTTTTGATACAATGTTCAAGTATCCCATAATCTCAGTAAAGTATTTCTCACGCTGGTTCCTCTGAGGTGATGATTGTTTGTGTTTTGTAGAGGAGTTCAGGCATATCACATAACATGTCTGAGTTCACATGAAGTCTGTGCTACAGTTGGAAATTTCTCTAAATCTTTATCTGTTAGCCTAAGCAGTTAGACTCCACTTCCCCTGAAATAAAGGCACCCAAACCGAGTTTTAAGCTGTATTGTAGCCTTCTGACATACTGTAAGAAATAACATAGCTTTCGGTTATTATCCTTCTGCAATTTTGTGTCATTCATTGTTGAGGGACTTCAAGGGAATGAATACATCTCTTGATTCCTGCTCAAATCCACATGTAAGCTGGAAGCTGTGTGTACTGTGCATCTCTCTTTCATTAACTCTGAGATTAAATAGGAGTTGTAAATATAGTTTGTAATTAAACCAATTTCCAATGTTGCTCACTTATTCCATGGCTTTTCTTAACCTTAGTGCTAATAGTAATAAAGATTTTGTGAATAACGAAGTGCCTGTGTTGCACAGAAATGAGTTCACTCATCCTGTTAAATGTGGTTTTTGCTGGCATTTCATGAATTGATCTGTTATCCTCTGGTGCTGCAGCTGTTCCTAAAAAAGGACGTGCCATTTCTCGTGTAATAGCTTGCATAATGCTGACAAGGGAGAAAGTTATATGATTACACATTAAAGCAGATATTATTCATGTGAGTTTATGACACAAAACCATTAATATTATTTTGAGAAGTACATTTTTGAAAAGTGTAAGATTTATTTCCTTTCACTTGAAAAATCAAATGCTTAAGTTGTCTAATTTAAAAAATAAAATGAATTTTCTTCTCTCCCTTCCAAACACATTCTTCTGATATGCTTTTATGTACAAATGTACATAAAAGCATATTATGTACTCATGATGAGTTTGGTTGCTTAGGGCTACACTGCATGTGCTCAGTCAGCCTGACTGTGTGCTAACCAATTGGAATGGTACCCCATGAGCAGAGTGTGGTTGTGCAACGTGTGACAAAGATTCAACCTGACAGTTTTACAGTTGTGCAGTGCATAGATGTTCAGAGTAACAAAAAGAGGCATGAGGAACTGCATGGTAGAGACCTGTGCTGCTCCTGCTGCCTCTGCAGCAAAAATGTGTTAATGCTCTAGTCAAAAAAACCTGAAAAGCAGTTTTCTGCAGCCCTTTTTCTCTCTCCTGTTTTACTTGAGACTGGCTAGATGTGGAGCCATCTGTATTTTTACATTGTTTAACATACTGTCAAACCAACTGTGTTTTAATGAGGGGACTAATATTAATTCATTACTGTTGGAAGGCATTTCATTTATCTTTGGTAGGTTCTTTTGCATTTCAAATTTGAGATGCTTGCATTTTATATTGTGATCTACTTCCTTATGCTCTGCTGTAGATTGGCATGGAACATTCTTCTTTCATCACTTGTTTCAAGCTTTTATTATAACTTGATACCTTTGTGAAGAGTTACGGATTTCTTCAGGGATGTAGTGCACTTAAATGTGAACTATTTCTGACCTCTTCAGCACAGAGACAAAATACACAAGTGTATGAGATCTTGGACTTTACATGTCTAATCTGCTGCATGGTAAAAAAGATAAATGTTTATTTAGAAGGGGTGCTGAGTAGGTTTTCCTTAGTTTAGTCTTGAAAATTTCTCTGTATTGCTTTCTTTTGCATAACATGTTATCTGTAAATGCTGTGAATGGAAAAGTCAAGAGTGACTACTGGGAGTTGAGAGCAAATAAAATCTAAGGGTGCCGTGAGAAATTAGGTAGCCCAAATAGCAAACAGAAAAGAGGTCTGTGAGTGATTTTGAGGGTAATTTAATGAATGCAATAATTAGCCTTTTTTGCTTTTAAGCAAAGATGTGGTTGCTGCTTTTATTTTCATAGTGATGTAGTGGTTGGAACTCAGATAATCTATTGTATTTTGTATTGCATGTTTTTTGCTTTGGTCCTTCATTATTTTATTCCAAAAAAATGTCAGGAATTATTACCTAGAGGCTTAAAGTTATAGCTTGTGGCTTGTTTGTCTGTTTGTCATGCAATAATGAAACCTCAGCTCAATTTCTTTGTTAATAGCAGAGTTATCTAAGCACTTAGGTATTTGTTTAATAATGGAGGGGGGGTTACCCTTTCTGCCAGCATACAGAAAATGAAATTTTGTGTTTTTCACATACCTGTATTCCTTTACAGCTGAATGTACCTTGCCTGTTGCAGTTAACATGGTGGCAAAGCCTCATCCTCTTGTAGAAGTAGTGTCTTCTACTTAGATCTCTTAGTAGATCTCTTATGCTTCTCCTTGTTTTGTCTTGCAACATGCTTATCAGCATAGTCTGTGCAGTATTGCTGGTGTATTTGGGAACTGTAATATGTGCAGTCAAGCCATATCTGCTAGAGATGAGGAGGCTGGTGGTGGATGAATTTCACCCCTGACAGCAGCTCCTCCGTCTGCTGTGCATTGCTGCTGCATTCAAAAGCATGCACACTTCACCTTTGGCTCTGGAAATCAGTTTGTTTGCAAAGACGAGGAGCCAAAGGAGTTGATTGTTAGCAATGGCAAGGGCAGCCCTGAAATGTGGGGAGAAACAGGTGGAGAATTTCGAGATGCAGCCAAGTATCTGATAGGGTCGGTGGGTAATAGTAGAAGGCATGTGAGAGACTGGAGAGGAAGGCAGGAGAAAATGCAAATAACAGTTGAGGGGAAGGAATTACTTGAATTTGAAAGGAAATGGCTCTGAGGAATGTATGTGTGTATCTGAACCATAGCATTCATGGAAAACATTAGTGTTTTCATCAGCAACAGTGTTAAAGGCAGCAGTTGTAGATGCCAATGAGGTCATGTCCAAGTTCCATTTTAACAAGGAGAAAAATCTCTTGTGTAGAAGGAGCAGCCTTCTCTCTCCAGTCAACCTAGTAGTAGCATATTATTGCTGTTTAAAAGCCTTCAAAATGTAGACTTTTAATTTCTACTGAATGAGTCAGAATAAGATGTCTTGCCTTGATTTACCTGTGTCAGTAGAATAATGAATGGTGGATTAAATAGGGGGACTGAAGGTAAAGAGGAAAAAAAATTCATTGTACGCTAAGATTTAAAATAATACTGAAAAATAAGACTCCATAGTGAAGGCTAGGAATCATAAAACTTGCATGAAAACTTTTGTGTTCAGAAACTTGTGTGATGGGTTCATGGGAGCTGAGAAGGAGTAAGATCCCTGTTTTCCTCCAGAACACTGGAGTAGGTTCTCATGAACTTGGGTTTGTTCATGCTTCTGAGAGTTTGAGTCATAGCTGTAAAGCAGCTGAGGGGTATATTTCTGTGTATAGTTTTATAGAGCTGGAAGAGCCTTACCTGAAGACCACACAGTGGATTCCAGGATCTCTTGCTCATTTTAATTTCACGCTGCTTTGACAAGCAAAATTTGAATCTAAGAGCTTTTAAGGAGTTATTTCCACTATGGCTTGGCTTCAGAGTTATAGTGTTGTCTCTCTTCAGTCTCTTTAGTTGTGGGCTCTTGTTTTTAATGAGCTTGTGTAAGTTTCTGTTCACAGCTGAAATGCTTTTGGAAAAAACCATCTGTTAAGAGCACTAACTGGCCAGTGGATGAGAAAAATCCTGAGCAGTGTTTTGGTTTCTGCAGAGATGGATTTAAATGCAAAATCTCAAATTAATTCCATCTTGTTATCATCTGGGTGGTTTACTTTTTTTTACCACCTAGTTATAATGTGACCAGTGATATCAAAAACATCATCTGGGGGGGAGATAGAACTAAATCTGCCACCTCAAAGCAGCACATACTTGTGCAGCAAACATGGGGCTTGTATGTTGGAAATCTTCCACAACCAAGGTCTAGGGGGATCTATAGGCTAATATAATTATTTTCTGCTTATGAGCACAGACTTGATTCTTTTACAGACTGGGTGTTATTAGTCACCATCCTAATTAATTGTAAATGCTGGAGCATTTCTCTTTTCTGTCGTGGATATAGAGTCAACAGCAGAGTGTGGGTGTTCAACAGTCCTGTTTACATTTGCATTGTATGTAAGTACCTACATTAATAATGTTCTTTTATTTCTCAAGAGCATGTCATTCCCTGTGGATATATTGAACAATTACAGTCATGAGGACTTGGAGAACTCAGCAGAAGACTACTTCTTTGATCTTCGGTGGGGGAATCGGGGGAATCCAAACTCTCCTGAATTCTTTACTCTGCCAGACCACCGCAAGGTAACAACCAGCAAATACTGTAGTACTGGTGTTCTTAATATCCTTACAGATATAAAATTTAAGATATCCAGTCCTATTGAATTTCAGAACTATTTCATCAAAGCTTTCATATTTTCCAAATTCAGAATCTGTGTGTTAAACTCTACTTTTTTCACTCTGTAACTGGGTTTAAATCTGCGTTTTAGTTACTGTGTGCTGCTTCTAGGCAAAGGACCTGTACATAATAAGCAATTTAAAACAAATAAAAAACCCAACCTGACTATTACCTTAAATTTTCAACTTAAGAATCAAACTTCATACATTCTCAAAAGGCTGTCATCACTAAGGGGTTAATGATTTATTTAAGCTAACTGGCTCTTTTTTTATCTCAGTTCTTCAGTGTTCTTCATGTTTGGGTTCAAGTTTTGATTAATAACTTCACTAATTTCAAAAGTGGTTCTTTTTTCTTTATCTGAAATATTCTGTGCTGTTATTAATCTCTAGTAGAGAATAGCTGTGACACTTTTATGTTTTAAACACTTATCCCTTGTGTGATGAGTTGGTCAGTGTTGGTTCTGTCCAGATGAATGCTTGTATTAGAAATAGTACAAATACAACCAGCAGTGTATAGCTTTAATGAAAAGTAAGTCAGTTGAGAAGATTTTCTGTGGGATCTAAAGGTCAGTGCCACAGATTCCTTGGCAGAATCAGAGTCTTGACTACTTTCCTGCATTTATGCAAGTGCTGTATGCCTAAATGATCGCTTGTATTAACGTCCTCATTTGTGACAATAGCATGTCATAATCTTCTTAAATTTGTTAAGCAAGTCTGTCTACCACACCATTCATGTCTATCAAGTTTTTTATACATTAACTTAATAATGGAAGCACGTGAATTTAAATATCAAAATGCATTTCCACAAAGTTACTTGATTCCTTAAAAGATGGTTTTTTGACCCTTCCCATATTTTTTTCTGAGGAATATCAAGTAGACAATTCAGAATTTCTAACGTGTGTAACTTCAGGGAACAAAACCCTTTTGAATTTGCCTTCCCACTGTAGCACATTAGAACTTGTTAGCAAACACAGTTTTGCTGTGTCAGCTTATTTCAGTGCTTGACTGACTGCCTCATTCTTCTGTTGGCTTTGACAGCTTGCACAGTTGGGATTGTTGAAGTGAACATAATGCTGGCTTCTTGCACACCTTACTTCAGTTGCGCACACAAATGCAAACTGTCAGCAGAAAAGAGCTGTACAAACTACTGTAGCTAAATCTGCCAGAGCTTGAGAGTCAGAGCTCTTTAGATGTAGTTTGTCTCTAGGAAGATGTGTGTAAAGAAAGGACTGAAATAAAGGCTTGTCTTTTACAGCTAGCTGTTAAGGACTTGCTTTTTAATATTCTTCTTTTTTACCTTCATAAACATTCTCTATATTTTACTACTGTTGTTTTAGCAAAAGTCTGCTGAATTATTATACATTCTTCTTGCAGGTTCCTATTACCTTGTCATCCGTGGGCTTTGTTCCTCTTTATGGTGTAGAGCAGACACACAAAGTTCTTGCACTGTTTGCACCATGGGACTCACTCACAGGTTTAATTTTAAGTTTTTTATCTCTGTATTGACTTTTTTTTTTTTTTTTTGTGGAAAATGCATGTAACCAGGACCTTGCTCATTTCATGCTACTGTAGGCCAAAACTTTTCCATTGTACATTTGTTGTTCCCCATCTTTCTGTTCACATACTATTATTTTTTGTTGTGTATTTATATACACGAGTGCTAGAACTTCGCACGCTGATCAGATCAGAACTGGACCCCTTGAATTCAAAAGATATGTAGCAAAATAATGTGGTGGTTGTCTGGACCATAGTACAACTTGTATCTCTTGATCTCTTTATGTATGCTTCACCTTTCCAAAAGGTATTGAACGTTCTTAGAATTCATTAATTTGCACATGAATTTAAATGCTCTTTATTAATAGTGATTGATCAGCACTGTGTGTAAATTAGTCTTTAGCTTGAAGTCCTAGCATAGCTCTGGCTGAGGTGATGGTTTTTGTGGGTTTTCTCCTCCTGTTCTTCCTCCCATCTTCCTCCCCTTCCAGTTCTCCACGTTTCTTCTTCCATTTAATGCCATGTATATGATTGCCAAGTATGCCACAAATGCTTATATATCACACTCTTCCTAACTGCTGCTCAAATTTCTATCAGACTTTTTGCATTCATCTCCCTCAAACTTGCATGGTTTCAATATTAATATCTATTAGCCACCCAGTAGTAAAATACATGTATGAGGGAGACTTATCTTGACAGTTTTTAGTGGAAGGAGATGTTAGAGCACAGTGTTGAAGGACAGAGCTTATGTCTGAAAAGTAGTTCCTGTATACCATACCACAAAAAAAAAACCCAAACAAACAAATCCCCCCTCGTGTTTATTAGTCTCAGTTATCAAAAAGGGTTTTGGACTACGGAGCATTTTTATGGGAACAGTGCCCCGTTGGTTGTGCTAGGGTAGTAGGAGCTACATTAATGTAGTGTCATCTAGAAGATGCCTAATGTGACTACTACATTGTTATTTCTGGGTATTTAGCAACTTAATGAATATGTTCCTTTTGGAATGGTAAGAATCACTAACTTTTTATTTCCCTTGTTTCTTTCAAGCTATAGCCCTGTATCTTGCTGATCAGTGGTGGTCAATTGATGACATTGTGAGAACATCTGTCCCTGCTAGACAGGGACTTCATCAGGTAAATGACTCCAACATTCACCTAGCATTTAATCTTATGCTCCAAGATAATGGCAGATAGATAGTGTGCAAGATATTACGTGTTTTAATTTAATTTGGAAATGAGAGGGCTGTTGCAAGGGAATAGAGGAATAGGTACAAGGGGGAAAGGAACCTCGATGTGAAGATAGAGTCTTGAGCAAGAATTACCTTTGTACAGCAGCTTCATATGATGTTAGCTGCGTTACCATTTTTTTTTCTTTCTTCTTTAGAATATTGTGATTTGGTTGTGATGAAACATCTTGGTAGAATAGTGCATTGTACCATAGCATTGTACCAGTGCATTGTACCATACCTATTGATCTTATCAGGGGACTAGTAAACCAAAAATACTGTCAGGAATGTGTTGACAGAAGCAAGCTGGAGCTGGTGGCTTGCAGTGGCAATACATGAAGTTTGGAAAAGTAAGTTGCCTGGTATCTGCATTATTGCTGCCCATCATTGACCTTTGTTACCATTATTTAACCCTGTGTAGCACGGAATTTTCCAAAACTGGAAATCTCTGTTTTTCCAGGGGTGTGATTTATATCTGCTCTTGGAATCTGGGCATTTGTCTTTGATTTTTGCAATTTTTAAAATTTTCTCTTGAGAGTTTGGCAGGTAGTCTGGCTTTCCACATAATTCTTAATGGTAGGAAAATCAGGAAACCCAAATCTTTTACAAGGGAGGTAGCTGAGACTAAGAGTTAGAATAGATCATGGTTCCTCCTTCCTTCACAATAAGTAGAATAGTGGTGAACTCAAATTTCATATATAAAAGGAACCCTGTAGGATAGATAAAAGAATATTTAATTGCTTATTTCATGCCACAGAAACTGTTGTAACAAGTTTTTTCACTGTATCACATCCTGTTGCCTGCCACTCTATCAGGAGTGATTGAGTGTGCCAAGTCCTGCCACACTGAGGCTCATCATTTCTCCTTTGTAAGACTTCAGTTACCTGCTAGCCTGGGAATTCTGAGGCTGATATACTGCTGTTGTGTTTGGTGAATGTTTAAGTACAAGTATAGGTTTGAGATCATAATATTCTCACTCCACTACCCTTCTCCCAGATTTTACACATTGGATTGGGAGTGACGTTGAAGACATGAAATATTCTCTGTGGTTGTGATTTATACTTAACCTATTGCAATGGCTGCTGAGCATCTTCTTGCCTTGTAACAAACCTCAGAGAGTCACCCTGCTTTAGCTCTTACAGCCTTCCCTTGAAATCTGTCTGCAGCTGTGTTAAATAAGTTCTCTCATGTATGGGTATTAACTAATCTGACCAATCTCCTGAAATGTTTTTTCTGTGTTCCCTTAGGTGAAGTCTGTTGGAGAGAGAGTTGTTCTCTATGTTCTAAATCGAATTATCTATCGAACACAAGAAATGGAAAGAAATGAGATCCCATTTCTCTGTCATAGTAGCAGCCATTATGCTAAGATCATGTGGAAAAAAGGAGAGGCTATTGGGTTCTATTCTGTTAAACCTACAGGTGAACATTTGAGGATTGTGGGATTTGGGAATTAAAGGGGAAGAGATAGTTTGTTTGAAGAATATTGTGTTAGTAGGCTTTATAAGCCTTGCAGGCCTAATTGAGTTGGTGTTTTCCTGCAGTCATAAGAGACCAGATGGCTGTTAAAATCTCTAGCTGAAATAATTACATGCTTTAGCAATGTAAGTTCTTAGATTACTTCGTAATTACAAAATGTATTTAAAACTGTAAGAAATTTGATATACCTGACATTTTTTTCTTCTCTAGAACAATTGTTTACACTTGAATTGGACTGTGCTTGTCTTGAGTTAGCAAAAATGGAAGGTTTTTCTTTCAAAAAATTTTCAAAATTTCACCCATGTTTGAGTGTGTGTTGTGCTCTCCAAATGAGCAGCCTGTGTGGAAAAGGCCACTCTGTAAACAGATGTTTTGAGGAGTGGTGGAGCTCTTCGAGCTTCCCAAAGTGTACTCACGTAATGTAACCTCTCTGCTCAAGTTTCCCTTGCTTCAAAAATGAAAATAATAATAGAATCATAGAATGATTTTGGTGGGAATGGACCATTAAAGACCATCTCGTTTCAACCCCTGCTGCCATGGGCAGAGACACCTTCCACTAGACCAGGACCCCATCCAGCCTGGCATGAACATGGGATGGGGCATTCACAGCTTCACAGTTTGAACATCAGGGATGTTCACACCTTCTTTGAGCAACCTCTCCCAGAGCTTCACCACCCTCGCAGTAAAACATTTATTTCTAATATCCAATCTAAATCTATCCTCCTGTGGCTTAAGGCCACTGCCCATTGTCCTGTCTCTGCATGACCTTTTAAAAAGTCCCTCTCCAGCTCTTTTGTAGGCTCCTTTCAGGTGCTGAAAGGCCACAATTAGGTCACCTCAGAGCCTTCTCTTCTCCAGGCTGAGCAACCCGAGCAGTGCTCCAGCCCTCTGATTTATTTCATGGCCCAAAAATAAGTATGTTTGTGGGTCCTAAAACATAGAAGGTTGCAAAGACTGACTGGGTTGTATAGACAACTTTGTTTCTCATTGGCCTTGTTAGAGAAGAGGGCAACTCTTTGCCGTAGTTCACAGATTCACTGAAGGGCCTGAAAACAGATTGTCTATTAATGGACTGCCTTAATGCCATTATAATGACATCCTTTTCTCACTGCTGAGTTCATAGCTATCCTTGGAATCCTCTGATATTGAAGTACCTATGTGTTGTCACCATCTGTTCCATGTTTGATTAATTTAGGGTAATATATTGCTTAAGGGAGAATTTCAGTGTAAAATGTCCTAGCATTTTTTTGTGTCTTCATTTAAAAAATTGGAATCATTGTTTCAGTCTTTAAGCAAGAACTGAAATGCTTTTCAAATTTGTCCTGAGAAGTCATGTAATCGCATAAAAGTGTAATTAAATAATTTTGTTTTCTCCTATTCCCTCCTCCATCTTTCAGTTCCGTTTTTACTGAGATTTCAAAGTGAGCCTTTCCTCTCTGTCTTGTCTATTATTTTCTGGTGCTACTGACTTTTTCTGTTACATTATTCTATTGATGTATCTTGGAAACCTTATGAAGCTTGCTCAAACAAGTTATTAAATGACTAATAGGAATTATTTCTTTTTAATAAAGTTATAACTTATTTTTATAACTTTACTTACTTTTATATAGTTTGGAATTTTTATAACTTATAAAAGTCTTTATTTAAATATGCTGAAATCCGTGCTGCAGCATGTCAGTCAGCATGCAGTTATGTCATCCATACTGATGGATATTTTTCCCTCTGATTATTTCAGGAAGTGTTTGTAGCTCTCTTGTTCATCAGAAGTACAAGTTGCCAGTGCTAGACACAATGTTTGTTAGAAAGAAATATCGTGGGAAAGAGTCTGGGTTAATCATGTTGGAAGACTTTGTGGATTCCTTTACTGAAGAGTCTCTTGGCCTAAGATATCCACTGTCACCTTTCATGTATACAGGCAAGCTCTTTAATTTTTTTCTTCTGATCTTCTTTGTGGTTTCTTTTCATGTCCAAATGAGTATTGTCATTCAACCTCCATGTTTGTGGCCTTATCCTCAGGTTCCACATTAAATTTTCTGCCCATTGGTGGAGGCTAAAAGTCCTGATTTGTGTAAGATGAAGTAGTTCCTGATTCAATTTTTAATCCTCTATGTAAAAGTAGATTATTTGAACTCTGTTGAGTTTAGCTGCTGTGAAGTTCACCACTGTCCTGTTTTCCCCACCAAGCCTGTAGCATGGGCTGAGTTGTTTCTGTGTGGGATCTAATGTCTATCTGCCTTGTAGCACCTTTTTCTTGCTCACACCTAAACCTCATGAGATTGTTTAATTCATGCTTTCTCTGAACTTCTGGTGAAGAGGACTAGGTTCTGCTTTAACTTGCATATCAGAAGGTACAGTTCTAAAACACAAAACACATGGTTCTTCATTAGCAACCTAAGAGGACTATGTCATGTAGGAAGTTATATGGATTCTGGAAACTATGTTCTTGGGACTATGTTCAGACAAGAAGCATGTTTCTTTTGCCCTGTTTCTCAAGGCTTGCTCCTTCTTAGGCCATTTGCCAGGGTTCCTTCTATGAACATTTTTGTCTGGCCTTCTTAACCAGTAGAAATTTTCTGCTTTTTGAAGCACCACAGTCTGTCACTGGATCTGATAATACCTAATTTGTTAAGCTTCAATGAGGAAAATTACTTGAGCAGAATTTAATGACTGATTCATTTTTGTAGTCAAGAAATGACAAAGTGGGGATCTTGTGCTCTGAAGTTGTGTCTCAGTATTAAATCTGGTGAAAAATGGTAGCTTTTTCTGGCAAAGACCAAAGAATAGTGTCAAAGCATGCATGCCTCTACATCTGTATGTTTGATACAGGTTTAGAGAGAAAAAAGATGGAAGGACAGAAGCGCAGAAAATATTCTGGAAGTGAACAGTGATTAACCATTCAATGGTAACATATTAACACTTCCAGAGAGTGCTTATCACAGGTGCCTACCAGAGTATGAGGGGACAAAAAGCACTGATTACATCCTCTGCTTAAGAACCCTTCTGTCCTGAGTTTGGCTTTGTAGTTGGCAGGAACAGTAACTAGTGAAGTTGCAAAAATCCCAAGTGAGTACTAGGAAAAGAAGAAAATCATATTAATCTTTGTTTGCAGTTTAAGATAATAATGGAAAATATTTAAACCTATATTAAGAAGCGGTTAATTAAGACAGATGTGTAGGGTAAAGCAAAGTTTATTTCAGACTCGACTATTTTGTTAAACATTTCTTTCTGTTATTGTTTTTGTATGATGGTAGATTGCAAAATAATTTGATTTCAGATAAACTTTAAATCTGAGGTATAGCTGAGTATATAGTGTCTGTAATGTAGTGGGTTTTTTTGTGTTTGCTCAGCTTGTAAGCAGTACCTTGAGAAGTACCCTGGGGATAAAAACCTTTTGTGGCAAGTGGAGGGAGGAGGAGATTGGTTCCAGAGAAAGTCTCTTATGTCTATAGTGCAAGAGGAAAATCTCAAAATTGCAGGTATGGATGCTTTGTTTTGTTGTTTTCTGACACTTTGTGAAAGTTGAATAAATACTGTGCAAGAGTGACTTCTGTGAACTGTGTAGAAACTAGCAGAAAGATTTCTATTTGTCCTGAGACCTTTGAGATCATATTTGGAATGGTGTCATATTTTAACCCCAGCTGGCAGCTAAGTACCATGCAGCTGCTTGTTCACCCTCTCCTCCCCTGGTAGGATGGGAAGGAGAGTCTGGGGAAAAAAAAAAAAAAAAAGTAAAACCTCTGTGTTGAGATAAGAACAGTTTAATAATTAAAATAAGATAAAATATAATAATGAAAAGGGAGACAAAAACAGCTAAATAAAACCCAAGAGAGAGAAGTGGTGCACAGTGCAGTTGCTCACTACCTGCTGACAGATGCTGAGGCAATCGCCAAGCAGCCCCTTCTAGCCAACTGTCCCCAGTCTATATACTGAACAGGATGTTCCGTGCTGTAATCCCTCCCATCTTCTTGTGCACCCACTGTGCTCACTGGCAAAGCATGGGAAGCTGTAAAATCCTTCACAAAGGATAAACACTACTCAGCAGTAATGAAAATATGTGATATCAACATTGTTCTCATACTGAATTCAAAATACAGCACTATGCCAGCTACTAGGGAAAAAATTAATTTTATCCCTTCTGAAAGTGGGATGATATCCACTCCTTATATCCTGTATCTTTTATGTCATACCCAGGTTCTGTTCTTTGCAGTTATTACCGGTTACTCTGAATCATTGTATTTCCTGTCTTCTGATATACACAAACATCACACACGTGTATCATTGTCTTAGTCTATGGGCCATCCCTCTAAAATGTCTGTTGAGTTCTTTTAGTCCATGACTTTTGTGTTCCATCTGTCGTAACAGTCTTTCAGGGCAGAAAAGATACTGCATCAAGTTGGATTGTTGCATGCTGGAGCCAGTTCTGCTTCTGTCACCACTGCACTTGTTTGCTTTCTCAGATTTAATTGTTCATTGGTCTGCGTGGTTTTTCCTGTAATACCCTTAATATGGCAATTGAATGGGAATCAGGTTCTGATCCCCAAATTCAGAATGGTGAAAACAGGTGCTGTGAGGTCCCCAGTTGAGTGATAGGCATATAACCATGAAAGAGACAGTATAAAGTGTTATATGGCAATTAATATCATGCAATTTAATTTATTGGCTACTTGCACCCAAAATCAAATCCCCATAAGGAATGCAATGGACTTCCCCATCTTCCTGTATTTACCTGCTAAGTGGAGCCAGGTGCTTGAGCAAACTCAGTTCCACAAATTATTTTGCTTTTTCCTGAAGCAGGAATAACCCAGGCTGTTTCCTTCTGCATGTTTGTGCACACTACAGGAAATTTATCCCTTTCTATACTGTATAGAAGTTTGGACTATGCTGTGTCGGACTGACTGTCAGATTCCCTAGTGTTTACTTAACAGGTGGCTTCTGCCCAATGTTTGAAGGTCCTGCCACCCACTGCTCCAGGATAAATGGGTTGTTGTATAATTTCATTTTTTGGGAGGCTGGTATGTGACGGAGAATGTGATATTCCCACTCAATGCCATGGTCTTTGGCCCAGTTGTCTAGGATGCTGTTTAGAAAATTAATCACACTATCTCATTCTGGAATTTCTGTCATGTTCTTAAGGTTTCCTTCTTAAGACCACTGTTCCTGGTGGTGACATGGGGTTCAGGCTATGTTCTCTCCTTTCTAGATGTTGCTTCCACCACTATGACCACATGACATTTTTCACTGGAGTTTTGGGGCAGTGTGATATAGTCTATCTGCCCAGTCTCCCCATATTTCTGTTTCAGTTGTCATTTTCCATATTAGAAAGGCTTTAACCACTTGGCCTGTTTAATTGCAGTGCATGTTTCACATTCATGGATAATCTGTGCAGTTGTGTCCATGGTCGAGTCCACCCCTGGTTCAAGTGTCCTATGATTTGCATCTCATCCTTGATTATCTGAGGTGTCATGGGTGCACCAAACTAGCAATAATTTTCCCTTATATTGACAATTTTGATCCACCCGAGTTGCTTCAATCTTAGCAGCCTCATGCACTTTCTCTTTGTTCTGATGTTCCTCTGTGGCCCATTTCTTGGGTGCGTCAGTCTCTGCATTAGGTACTTTCACAACCAGGTTCTCCACCTAGACAGCAGTATCTTGTCTATGGCATATGATATGGTGTCATGGTTTGAGGCTGGCACAATGCCAGTGCCTCCATGAAAATATACTTTTCCTCATGGCTTCTGTGAGATGTGATCAGGAACAGAGCAAAGCAGGCTCTAACTTAAGAGTGAAGGAAACAAACTTTATTAACTACAATATCTAAAAAGGAACAGACACAGAACTAAGAATGAAAAACCTCCAAATACATTCCTCCTCCTCCCCCCGCCATTTTCTCCACAGCATGAAATAACACTATAGGTTTCCACCCTGTCATCATCTCTCAGATAATCAACTTCCAGTCCATCACCACCCCTTAGATAATCAACTCTCAAGTCCATCAGGGAGAGAGGAGTCCCCCCTTGCACCATAGGCTTTCCCCAGAAACACAATTGAAACCTCTTGTGTTTCCATGTTACTCCTGGCACCACTCTGAGAACATCTGCCCTCATGACTTCTTCCCTCCATGTTCAGTGCTCTCACCACTGTACATGGACCAGGACTGCTTTTAGGGTTCCCCTTTTAAGGATGCCCCATCCAGTTCTAAAAAAGCTTCAGGTCTCTCAGCTTCAGGACACCAGTCCCCCCCAGATTTACCCCCTGGGGCCGAGGGGCCTCGTGAACAGAGATCTTCCTCTCTACTGAAGACAGAGGGTATCCCACACCCTCCTCAGCCGTCTCTGTTCATGCCACTGCTTCTCCACTCTCTCTTGGCTCCAAGGCATTACCTCCCCCTAAATGCAGTCTCTGTGTCACAGGAAAAACATGGGTCTGTCCATGGCCATACAAGAAAAGAGTCCAGCCCAAGGGCACTCCATCATCTCCTCCCACCTAGGATTCTTCCCACCTCTTCCAACATCTCTCACTTGCACCAACTTTCCTCACACTTTCCCATTTCCTCATGCTTCATCTCTCTCTCTCCTCATTCAGATTCAGGAGAATCAGTATTTGTAAGGTTTCCACTATTCAAGAAAGGGGTTAAAATCTTCGCCTCTGTCTGCCCAGAATCCCCCACCTTCCTTCTGGCCAGCCTGTGCTGCCAGCACAATATCACATTCCAAGGCAGCACAGGCACTGGCTCTCTCTCTCCATCTCCCAGGGGGTGTGGGGGGGGGCCCCGATGCCTCTCAGGGCTCCTCCACCCTTCCATCTTGCCAGGCCTTCACTCCCCTCCTCTGCCCCAGGCTCCGGCCTACCTCACCCGGCCGCATGGCTTCCCTCTCCCAGCCAGCCCCGGCTGGGCAGGGGAGCTCTGAGCTCCTTCCCTGACCGGGACCAAGAGAGAGTTCTCCTGGGAGTTCTTGCTTTTAACCCCCTGTGTTCTCAGAGGTGGTCCACACCTTCAGTGGCCAAAGCAGGTGACAATATTCAAATCCAAGCACTGATTGGTTTGACCACAACTTCCCAAAAAACTCACTTCCTTCTTAACCTATGACATATGGCATATGCAAGATACTGCAATATGGCAGCTCAGATGGCCTTACCTTTTTGCTTTACTCTGCTTCTGTCACTGCAACCACCCCACAGGATATTTGTCACTACACAAGTCAGTGTAGAAATAAAATATTGGTCATTTTTCTCATTCAGCAATGTCTAAAGCCAGCTGGATGGTCTTCACCTCTGCAAATTCACTTGATTCACCTTCTTCAGCAGCTTGTTGTAGAAGACTCAATCTCTGATCCTTTCCTACAGTTTAGCAGAACAATCAGTAAATAAGGCATATTTCTTCTCTTTTTCTGGTATTTTATTCACAGTGAGTGCTCTTCAGTATGGGTCAAGAGGAGTTGACCACTCCTCTAGTGATATTCCAAAATCTTTTCAGGCCAGTCCTTGATCACTTTCAAGATTCCTGGACAATCTAATTGGTGCAGTATTTCTGATGGTGCACCATTGTGTTAGTGGCTGGCACCTGTTACTCTTCAGCAGCCCCACAACAGAAGGGCCCTCTGAAAGAAAATGCCAGGCAGACAGATGCTTAATTTTCCCTGTCTCCAAGGCAGCTGTAGTGAAAGCCCGATGCTACTCTTCTGGATCCCTGAAATATCCTCTTCTGAAATGGTTTGTGACAAAGATGCACAGAATCTCTGGGCAGTCACAGTGACATGCTTTTGCCATTCATTCCCACTCAGGCGAGTCTCAGCCTCCATTATAGTCAGCTGTTGGGACCTCCCTGTCACTCCAGAACTACTAATGGGTTATTGCCCTCTATAGCATGATGACATTATGGCACACTGTGCACTGATGTCTGTTAGACCCTTATACTCTTGTGGGTTTGACGTTCTAGGCTACTGGATCCTCACATTCCAGTGAACTTAACTGATCATCGTCTCCCGTTGATGGGAGGCAGGACCCTCTAGTATGGATATAGAATTCTTCACCCACTTCCTGTGAAAAGGGATTAGAATTCTTTACCATAGAATCAGGAGTAAGATTAGCCATTCCATTCTGTCTGGGGAATTGCCTGCTGGAGACTGGAGCAGCAATTTTCCTGCAAGAATTCACATTTGTGATTGTTTTTCCTTGCAGTTCATGCCTCTAGGGTGGAGGTGGATTTTCCATATAATTTTTTCATATCCTTTCTGTGGTCCCACAGGATTTTAAAAACCATGGTGTGTACCCTTTATCCTCTTTTTTGTGCAAAAGAATCTCTTAATAGCTGAGATACTTGTCTGTACAGGCAGGGAGTAGAACCTGTCTTCTTTTTGTTGCTGTAACTCCTGGAGCTGTTTTTCATACTTTTTGAAAAGATTTTTTCACAACTGAGAGGCAAGTCCATAGGTAGGGAGAGAGATTTTCTTTGTATTCCCAGAGTTAGCAAACCACTTAAACCACTGTGGGTGCTTCTTCATCTCTCTAGGTCATTAATGCCAATGAGTTGGGATGATGGTGTGCTACATATACAAATACCTACCACATGGGTTATGTGCATTGGGCTTTGTCAAGATCAGTATGTGACTGCACATTCTTTGGCTCATAACAAATCATCTCTAGCACAGCTAGCTCCCTCAGGTACCAGACACCTCCCTGTCCATGGTGGTCCACTTGCCTGGGTGACATGGAATGTCTTCCTTGAAGGCCTTTCCTTCGCACTTGACAAGCAACTAAGTGCCATGCATCTGCTTGTTCCCCCCCTTAGTGGGGTGGGGAGGAGAATCTGAAAAAAAATGCAAAACCTCTGGATTGAGGCAAGAACATTTTAATAATTGAAATCAAATTAAACAGAAGCATAATGTGACAATAATCATAATGAGAAGGGAGACAACAAAACCAGAAAAAGGAAACCCAAGAGAGAGAACTGATACACAATGCAGTTGCAGTGATTAGCCCCTCCCAGTTTATGTACTGGGATTAACAATGTGGTATGGAATATTTCTTTGGTCCTGGCTGTGTCTTGTCCCCAGCTTCTTTTGCACTTGCTCACTCAGCATAAGAAAGTGAAAAGTCCTTGAATTAGGGTCACCCCCTATTTAGCACAACTAAAACATCAATGTGTTATCTTACACTAAATTCAAGACGAGCATTGTATGAGCTATAAGGAAGAAAAGTAACTCTATCCCAGCTGAAAGCAGGACAAACGGTTGTTATATAAAGGTACTAATTTTCTCTTGCTCTGTTTACTCCTTTAAATCTTCACAGCAGAGACCTCGAAGAAGGAAAATAAGAGTTTGCAAGCAGAGGACAATTTTTGTCAGTCTGCAGTATCTGAAGCAGGTGGACCAAGGACTGAGGTAGAAACACAACTAAGTGTAGGTACACCTTCTGTCACCTCTTTTTTTTTTTGAGTGTATTGTAACTGGAAAAACAGTTACGAGAAATTATTTTTGCTTACTTGTTACTTTCTCTGTGGATGTAATGCTTCCCATTGATGTAATGCTAATGTTGGAGATGGGTTGTGATTTTTTGTTTTGGTTTTGTTTTATTTGTTTTTTGCTTTGTTTGGTTTTGGTTTGGTTCTTGGTTTTGGCTTTTTTGTTGATTTTTTTTTTTGTGGACAGGTGGGGTTTTCCCATGCATGTAGAGAGTCTGTGCTGCAGCTATCAGGGTCTGCAATTTGACTCTTTTACCACCAGATTACATAAAGGAGAGTGTTTCAACTGTCTCTGAGATAAAACTGTTTAGAGAGTTTTTAGAGGTACCCATCCATGTCACAGTTCAATACAATGGCTGATGTTAAGATTGCGTGGAGAGTTAGACATTGTCTGTACAAAAAGACCGCACCTTTCTTTGCATGTATTTGATACAGCAGCCAGATTACAGCTGCTCATGGACATGTAGTTATGAATATGTTTGGGTCATTAAATATTATGAAGCTCTTCCTTTATTTCATTTGTGTTCTGAAGCCACACAGAATGTACTTGACAATCATTCATAGCTCCAAATACCATGAGCATAGATTTGCATGCTTTAAGGAATGTCTGTGTTATTGACATGACCATGCTTTCATAGAAGCCAGTGCTTTAATTAAAAATGGGAAATAATTACTAAATCAGTACTCTCAGATGTTAATATTTCAACTTTAGATTTGGAACTTAAGTAAAGTTTTCCCATTTGAGAAAAATTACTATTTCCCAAAGCAAAATTGACGGAAAAGTAGTGATGTTTTAAATCTCTCAATGACTGGAAGCAATAACTCTTAGTTGTCTTTCATTTGCAGCAGTGTCTCTAGCCTCATCTCTGAGTTTTAGATAGATTCCAATAAAAATCATATCAGCAAATGATCTAAAAACTTACACATTTTGGTTATAGAGCTATATGGATATACCCGGAAAAAATAGGAGAGTGATAGCAATTCTTTTGATTTTTGCTGCTGTGAGTTAAGAAGCCCTGTCTCTTGCCCTTTTGTAGAGGAAAAGACAGTAGATACCAAAGTGCTCCAACTCCTCATAACTTGGTAAAACTGCTAGCAGCTCTAAAATTGGCATCTGCAGTATCTATAAGCAGTTGTGCAATGGTTTGAAAATTGTTGCACCAAGTAAGAAAGTAAAATATCCCACCTTCCCCCAAACCATGAAAAAACATTTCCCAACTTTAATTTTTCCCTCTCTGTTAGTGCTCCCCATTTTGTGCGTTTTGATTCTAGAATAATTTGCTCTTAATTTACAAATTCTTATGTACTCATCTGAAATTACTTGTCTTGGTTTGAAAATACAGGTGTCTGCTAAGGAAGGCAGGAGCCACCCCTGAACTGGAAACTGTAAACCCCCTCCTTCTGAATTGTTACAAACTTGAAATTAAGTGGGGCTCTCAGGCAAAGATATGGGAGCAGGAATAACAGTTCTTTATTAGGGAAGAAAATAAAAAATAAATAAGCAATGCAGTAATACAAAACAACACCGACAGAATCAGAACACAACCTGGTCAGGGTGTTGGTAGCAGTCCCGTTGGAATGGTGGCTGCAGTCCTCCTGGAGTGTCAGGTGTGGTTCTGTTGCAGCAGTGATCCTGTAGAAGTGGTAGTCTTCCTCTGAAGATCCAGTGAAAAAGGCAGCTGTTCCTCTGGGAATCCAGTGGAAAGGCTATTCTGGTGGCCCAGAATCTCAGATTATATCCAGTTAGGATGCTTGGCTCCTCGCCCTGGGCGGAGCATCTCACAATAGGATGCTGTAATTTTATCAGTCATGCAGTGACACTCAATGGCCCATTAACAGAAGATGTCTCTCTGGAGGGAGGATTGGTTGTAGAAGAGATAAAGAAAACTGCTCAATTAACAGAAGATAACTGCCACACCTCTTACAGGCAGCAAATAGAATACACATTGCCTTGCAATCTAGGACACTACTTCAAATAGCAGAATGTAGACATGGCCACTTTTTGCCAGCCTTCTTCCACAGTATTGGAAGTGAGACTGGAAAAGTGGACCAGGATGCTGGTAATTGCTGTTCCAGATTATTACTAGTGGCTAAGAAAAAACAATGTACTTAATTTTATTTTAATGTGTACAGCTTTTGTGTACTTTACTGTATCAAGTGCTGAATCCTCAGCTAACTTGCAGAAAAAAATTAAGGTATTGGGATGGTGTGGAGAAACAGGGGACAAAAAAGCTCTAGGGAGAGGGAGCTAAGCAGCCTCTTGTGCTGACTGTAAGCTGACATGTAAGCTGCATTACTGATGAATCACCAAAAAAAGTTCTGGCTTTTTTTATTTTTTACATGGGTTGCCCTATTCAGTTGGATGTCATGACAAAAATAAAACTATAGAATAGTATACAAGTATCAAAATAAGACTTCGCAAATAAATTTTGCCAACAACTGCAGTGTAGTTCCTTGGGTTTATACAGAAAGGGGAAAAAAGCCAGAAAGAGCGTCCTCTAATTGACTTGTGTGGAAACTTATTATAAGCAGAACTGTTAGGAAAAAATCTTGATAGTATTAGTTAATAGTGACAGGCCACCTTGAAATCTTATCTTCTATATTGGAGCCAGAAATAAAACAAAGAAAAACTAGTCATCCATGACATAAAGATAACTTCAAAAAAATATTAAATTTGTTGAGATGAGACAGAAGACTTAGCTATAAATTAAGAATTATTTTAGCTGCTGTTTTATAGGATCATTACTATGAAATAGTGCTTTAGAAAGGTGCAGCCATAGGTAGGATGATGAAGGTATTTTAGTAAATTCAGAAAATTTTAGAATAACATTAGCTTTGCTTTTGCTCCACAGGCTGACTCTCAAAAAGGTAAAGAATCAACAGATGTCCATGCAAGCACATCTGAAGGTAAAAATAACCTTGATTATCAGTATTGCAATTACTCTAGGTGGATACTCTAGATAGATAGTTTTGCAGGCTCTTTTACAGCTTTCCATTTTGCTTCATTCATCTGTAAAATGGATATGAAAACAAGCTTTCCTCTAAGGTGCTGAGATTGAACTCATATATCTTTTAGAGGAATTCAGATAAAATTGTTATGAGCCTTGGTAAAGACCCTATTCAGAAAGAAAGTAACACAAGGAAATGCTGTTTTAGTGGCACTCAATTTCTTTCATGAACTATTTCGGATAGGGAAGTCATATGCAGATCATAGTCTGAATTTGTTCACTGGAATTTTTTTTGTGTTATTCTTCTAAGACCCTAATGCAACTCCTGTTTCCATCTGGACACGAAGCAGTCATTTAAAACGTCAGAGGCTAAATAAAAATAGACAGGAACCTGGACTTGAAACTTCCCAACAAGATGAGGAAAATGCTCTTCAAATGTCCAAAAGCAGGTACCAGGAGCCCGTTTTTACTGATTTCTTATTTTGTTGCTTAGGCAGCCATAAACTATATTAGTGTCTCAGGGTGTGCAACTGGTATTTCTTCTCCTTTTTCCCCACTTCACTTGCTTGATTTTAAAATTACTAAAAGTAAAGTCTAATGCAAGATAGGAAGAGAGAAAAGTGAGACATCAATTGAAGAGTGATTGCACCACAATGTAGTACCTGTGAAAGCTCAGTAAATAATAGAAATAATAGGAAAAGAGTGATGGCTGAGAGTGTCCTTTTGTAACTGAATCTGTACAATGGTAAAAATATTTGTATTCACAGCATGGTTTTTTGAGATAATATATCTGGACCTACATCCATAACACTCTGTGTGGTCTTTGAGGAGGTGTCCCTCCCCCACTTGTTGTTACAGTTGATATATTGCAATAAAATATGGTCTGACTGTTCAGTTGGGGAGCTGGTTACTGCTTGTCAGCTAATAAAAAGTGTTATAGGGAGCCATGTCTTCAAAGGAAAGCCCTTTGCTCAGACAATATTTTGAACCATCATATCTGATCTAACATCCTGAAAAGAACCCAAAACCATTTCCAGTTTAAATGATGTTAACCTGTGTAACAATCATCAGATGTGGATGTGAAAAGTAGTGTGACTTTTGTGCCATAACAGTTCTTACAGGACAGGGCTTGGAGTAATAATTTGTACTGGCTTTCCATTCAGAATTTCTATTTTAAGTAAATAAATAGCCCCTTCCTCCGTCACAGACACACTGTGCCCACCCCACCCTGCTCCATGTGTGTGTCTCCCTCTCATTCTCTTCCAAAGAAACCCACTTCAACCCCTAAAGCTTCTTTTGACAAACTGAAGATAACTTTATTATTTTCTAGGAAATCACTCAAGCTTGGGACATGGGGCCTCTTTAAACAGAATTAGTTGTGGGGATTCTCTTTGTGCAGTTGAGACCTTACACTAGGTAGTGCCTAATTTTTGTGTTTAAATTGCTCTGTGGAATTACATATACTGTATTGCTGTGCTGCGCTGTCAGTGCACTGCTCTAAGCTGGTTCAACAGGTCAAGCGGCACACTTGATGCTGCCTCAGCTTAAGAAGTGCTATTACTTCTAGTAATTGGCTAGTTTGTATGTGAGGACTAACCTGGTATGATTGGTTACTAAACTAACCTAATTTGAATGTCAAATTTTGGGCCTTGCAAAATTAAGGCAATGATGTGTTGCTGTTTCACAAGATGCGTTACATGGTGTTTTTAAGCAGAGCTAAAAGGAGTGCTAAAATGAAGGCATCAGAACAGCATATGAGCTTGGTACGTTCCGTTCATGCACACCAAAAAATGAAGCAGGGTCTTCTGCTGTGCATTTTCCTATTGAGTCCTACTTTCATCTCAAGACTGTCATGTAGGATAAAACCCTCCAGTACTGCCTTTACTATGAGATCACAAAGTAGACTCCTGTGAATCTATTGCATGCACATTTTTCTTTGCTTGTATGTAATAGGTTCAGTTCATCTAAACTTTATTGTCTCAAAAATGAGAACTGAATATTTGAGTTACTGTTACTATCCTGCAGTAGTGACAGTGCATCAGCACTTCATCTTTAGATATTTGCTAATGTAACCTCTAGTTGATGGCAGCTTATTCACTGTTGATGTGTTTATTGCCTTGAGTTATTTTCCAGTCATGGTCTTTGTAATATCTGTATTTTCAGTGATTATACGAATACAGGTGTTTTCATAATTCCATTATTTGAAAATATTTCTACAGTGGGGATGAAGGGAAAAAGAAGTTGCTGCTTTTCTTAACCCTTTGTAGCTTTCAAATATGTAATGCATCACTACTTTCTGAATTTATAATAATAAACTTAGAGAAATTTCAGATTTCTTTCCCATAAAATGGAAGTGAGACAGATATAATTTTATAATTGCCAAAGTAGTTTTCCTAGTTGTTATTACTTTTTTTTCCTAATGAGGAGTTAGCCATTTTTAGATGCATTTAGTTTTCTTGATTTGTATCTCCTGTGGCAAATATGCACCACATAATTGGTCATGAAAGAATTTTCCTGCTGAGATCACCAAAATTATGTATTAATCTAAAAGATATGTCTCAATACCTGCTACAGGCCGGAACTTCTTGCCCACACATCTGAAAGCTCTGAAGACTTAGTGGAAGTGCCTAAGGTGGATGCTGTTGAGAAGGATGAGGAAATGATTGCTGAAAATGAAGATCAGTCCGTATTAGACGCGGAAATGCACATATCACCTTCTGAGAAACAAAGTGAGATGGAGGTGAGCTGGATGGGATAACGGTAGCAGATAATTTCGGAATACAGCTACAGTTTCTGTTAAATATGGTCCTTGCTACCTTGCTCCATGTGATTCTCAGGTCTTTGATTTTTTGCACCAGTACTTTATTAAGAAGGGTATCTGAGAAGTTAAGGCTAGTACAGAATTAGTTTGATACATATTTTGATTTTATAGGATAGGATTTATAGATTTCATACATAGTAGATTTTATAGGATCTTCAGTAAGATGAATTTCTAGCTTGTCTACCATCCTCATTTTCTTCACTGATTTCTCCTAATAAGAAATTCCAGAGAATTTGAATGGGATCCAGAAAATGACTGGGATAAGGTCAAGATCTGACCCAGTATCTCTAATTTAAAAAAAAACCCCGTTTTTTGAAGACATCGGGACCTGATATGCTTCAGTGACTTCTATTGGTTCTTTTTACTTCTCTACTTAAAACTTGCCTGTTGGATTTAAACATCAAATTTAAATCCAGCTTTTAGCTTCACCTTGGTAACAACATCAATTTAAATTTCTGAATATTCATTGTGCCTAGCAATGCCCTCAGGGTTTTATGTTCTTACTGATGGATGAAAATGTTGGGTTCAAGGAATGATTGCAGGAGGCATGAGAGATGCATTAAAAACTCCTTATCTTGGTTCCTAACTGTAAGCTATGGTCATATATTTAGTGTAGGTGACAACAACAAACTAATACTCTGGCTAAGTTAGCTAATCTGCATTAAGTTTTGCCTTCTTAGTATACAATTCTAGATATCTCAGCTATCTACTTCTCACATTAAGCTGCAAATTTCAATCACATGTACATCCATTAGGGCTGGGGAACAATAGCTGGGCATAATTTTGACTTACAAATATGCCCTTCTTTTTTTTTTTTTTTTTTTTTTTTTTTTTAGGAAAAGCCATCAAAACCTTTTAATGGGG